CTATCTAGTAATTTGGAAGAAGGGGTCCAAGAAAATATATATACTTTTACATTATTCAGTAAAACTATTTCTAAGTAAAAAGTCTACAGATATACATGTTCCAGGACATGTACACTCACATACACACACACACACACACACACACACACACACACAAGTTAGGTGGTTAAGGACAGCATTACTAACATTAGCAAAAGAATTGTAACACCACCAAATGTCTATCAATAAGCCATAGGAGATTTATATACTGGAATACTAGAATAAAGGAATAATGGATAATGTACGCATAATACACAGATAAATGAAATAACATGGGTGAATAGTCAAACTATAATTTGATTTTAAGAAGCCAGATATATTAGAATTATATACATCTGGGTCTTTATTTATGTTTCATATACAAGAGAGCTATAAATATACTGCTTAGGCATGCTAGTACAACTTAGCATCTAGTACAACCTATCAAAATCATAAAAATACATATCACAACAATCATGATGGTGGTAACCACTAGTGGGAGGAAGTGGGTTATTATAGTAAAGAAAAATAGGGGCTTTTTGGTGCAGGTAAACTTGTCCTAGTTCTTCCCTTCGTGGAGTTCATTTGATAATCTGCAAAGAAGCTGCATATTTCAATTTCATATACATTTAAGGGAAAGGGGGCAGAAAACTGCACAAGAGCCTCCATGTCTTAGTGGGATTGAAAAACAGAACACACCTCAAGAGCGGGAAAGGGTGCATTCCTTTAAATGTAGAGAAGAGCTATATAATTGCATACTGCACAGCTTTATAGGGTCTTTTACATATACACTTTTTCCAATGGCTTAAATCAAAGAAGAGATGTCTTCTACTAAAAATCTACTGACTTTTACCCAGAAAGATATCTATGGAATACAGAATTAAGAATAAAGTGGATCTTAATGCATTGACGTATTCAAAGCTAAAATGAAGCAGATTTGTTTTATTCTGAATTTGTATCCAAAAGTTTAATTACAGGTAGGCACCTATTATGACAACTTATAAATAAATATATAAATGAAACAATTTAATATATCGAAGGTGATGTTATTTATATTATTTAACATAAAGAGCAATACAAAGCAGAAATATTACACAGGATATGAAAAGAAAAAGAAAAAAACTCACTGCCATCAAATCCATGCTGACTCATAGCAACCCTATTAGCCTGTAACTGTGTACAGGTGTAGAAAGACAGGAAGTGAAAAGGCTAATGTTATATCTCCACTTTGCCAAGCATGATGTCCTTGTCCAGTGTGGTAGTTACATAATCTGGTGTCAATTTGAGAGGATTATGAATGAAGGGGTGGCGCCTGGCCTCTCAATCGGATCATAGACAATGAGGACCCTGTGAGGGCATGGCCTTCTCCTGAGAATTCTGGGAACTCCTGAATTTTCCTCCTTGGAGGTGGAAGATACTTCTCTCTCTGCTCACTTCCTGGGAGACTTCCCTGAGGAGAAGCCACATGGACCTACCCTGATGCAGCCCTGGGTGCTAGAGAAGCCACGTGGAGACCCCTGCCAGCACTGAGATGCTTACACCACCACTGGATCCACACACTTTCTACCCATTGGCCTGTGATCATCCTGCATCCGGCGTCATTGCATGTGTTTCATGAGTCTGAAGAAGACTTTATAGACTTGTATCAGACATATGGGCCTAGAGTCGACTGGATAGGGATGCTTTCTTAATGTACAATAACCCTTTATATAAAACACTCTTTTATACACAAATGAGTTTCTATGGATTTGTTTCTCCAGACTTACACATCCAGGGACAAGTCTCTCCTGATAGCACATCCAAAGTATGTGAGAGGAAGTCTCACCATCCTTGCTTCCAAGGAATATTCTGGCTTTACTTCTTCCAACCCAAATGTGTTTGTTCTTTTTGCAGTTCATGGTACTTTCAATATTCTTTGCCAGCATCATGACTCAAATACTGGAATGGGGGTACTAAAAAGTGCCGTGGAGGCATGTTTCGAAAACAAGGTAACATTTGAGCTGTACTTAAAGAAAGAAGAAGACTCAGTCCTGCGACAATATGGAGAAAATATGACACAGCATGGGTTGAGGGGCCACAGGCAGGATCATTTGGGGAACAGTAAAAGCTTTAGTGGTACTGAGGCTTGCAAAAAAAGCAGAGGCTGGAGATCATACATGGAAGACAAAACAGATGTCTAAATTATACCCAAACTATAGGATAAGTTTAGTATCCCTTTTATCATGATGAATTTTCTGAACCACTACTTGCTTACTTAGAAACACAGTTTTGATAAGGTCCCACTGTTGCATGTACATTTAGTCACCTATGGATCCAGAAATTTCCTATTCTCATCACATATAGGATACTTTCTTTCTTTCTGGTTAAAGAAACATTTGAACACACTTAGAAATATTTGTTTATTATCCATCAAGGAATTTCTACTAAGATTCTACACTTTCCATAATATCTACATTGAGTGCAATTTGACAATGATATATAGAAAAACTAACAATAAAGCTAGCTATACAAGCAATCACCTTTGTTTCTTTACTGAGGGATGTAACTCAGGGTCTAAGAATGGTACTTTCATTTGACCACAGGCAAATGAAACTGTTCAAGTGTCACATTATTTAAAGCAAAGTTAAGCATAAATATATCTTGTCAATAGACCTGTTATTAATATCTAAAATGCATCTTAATACATGCCATTGTTAATTCTAGGACATGTAGGCTCTTCTTCATCCATAATTGCCTACACAATCTTAATAAACACACCTTAATGACTTATTTGTCCATTATAATATCACAGGGAACCATAGCTAGAGCGATTAGCAGTGTTCATGACAATCAGTTCAACAAAACATTTACTTAAATATGTTTTTAAAATGATTATGCTTCCTTTCACTATGAAGAAAATCAAATGATTTTTTGGAGAAAAGCAATTTCGAAAAGCATATAGACCTGGGTAACATTTGGAGGAAGAGAATTCTAGTCTCGATGCTAAGAAATAGTCTCAGACACGGCACTTTACCACTTGGGACGCAGTTTCCAGTTCCCATGAGATTGTCTTTAACCGGCTCTTACTGGATAATGACTTAGAATCCTAGTCTTTCTAAGAAGTAGGCTAGATGTGCTTACTGCTAGGAATTAAAATATACCCCTCAGAAAATTATACTGACATTTTAACCACTGAGCTGCAAATGTTGAAGTAGGACTTTTTTATGATAATGAAGTCTTGCTGGATAAGCACAGTCCTCAATCTAATCTCTTCTGAGTGGTACTTTATTTGACCGAGCAGAATAGCCGCAGACATACGGGAGAAGACGGGTACCACGTGAAAACACATCTGCAAGCAGCTAGGGAAACCAAGACACGCTTTCACTGGAGGCAGACACAAGGACCTTTCCTTAGAGCCCAAACGCAGAGAGAGATCCTGTGGGCGCGCCGAGTTTAGAGTCCTAACCTACAAAATAGTGAAACAATACATTCTTGTCCTTTTAAAAGCCACACACTTGTCTATTTGTTGTTGTTACCGCAGCATTACTACCTAACTAAGACACCTATTGAGGTTGATCATGACAATGCAGGGAAACAAAACAGAACAAAGCACTGGAAATATTTTTCTTTGAAATGTAAAATAGATCTCTTTATTTTAAAATTCATGCACCTTGAAAAATCCACTTCTGTGCATATTGGGAGCAAAAGATCAACAAATTTCCAGGTTTATTGGACAGAAATCCTGAATGTAGGCAGATATATATTTTCCACCGGTGCATTAAAATGACAAAGGAGTAAAAAAGAACAAAGGATGGATTTTGAATTTCTATAGAGAAGCCTATTACACTGCTAAATTATAAACTAAATTACTGTATACTTTATATATGCTCACAATAGATCTATAATATAAGCTAGAGATTGAATCTGTGTTAACTTTTCAACGGTATCATATATCGCAGGCTTCACTTGTTTATTGGATCTGATATTCATGAGAGCTCTTTCTTTGTTTAAATACATTTTATTTCACTTAGAATAATTATTATTCACAAATAAATTCTATGAAGAAGTGTATATCGTGATCAAACTGAAAAATATTAACGAAAGAAAACTTGATACAAACTGTCTACCAATTAGATTGCCATGTGAGAAGACTCTCTCAAAAAAACCTATGAAGAATGAATTTATTTCATAATGTTGTCCCCCCATCTCATGGAAACACTTTTAGAAAGGTGTATTATAAAATAAAAGATGTACAATTATGAATATGATTTTCTTGACAAAAGGATGTATACTTAGCACAATTAAATATTTGGTAAATTGGTTTCACATGTTACCTTATTTGATTCTCATGGATAAGTAAGGCACCAATTATCATTGTTAGTTTATACAAGAGAAAATGGAGAGTCTGAAAAGTGTGGGGACACAATCTAGGCCATGTGGTTAGCGGCTTGTAGATGTTGCTTACAGCTGGCTTTTTAAAATTTGCCCGCACATCTCAGCTCATATAATGATTTGAATATTGCTAAAATTATATTATTTTAAAGCTCATGAGGTTTTATATATATGTATCTATATTAGATTCCTAGAATAATAATACACTAAAGAGAAAAGTATTTATTTTTCTATTTGGAACGAGACAGGAAGACAGAAATCGTTTTCATATATTCCACATCATCACTCTAGAAAATTGCTTCCAAGGATGATATCACTACAAAATATAAGCATAATTTTCAGAAATCGTAAGCTCATTATTTCAAGTACTTTCAAAAGCTTACATTTCTATAATTCCCTGAGCATATTCCCTTCCACCTTTGAAATGCATTTCAGTGTAAGATGATTTAAAAGCCAGGAGGGGAAAAAAAACATCTATAAGAATCCACTGAACCAAATATGGTTAAGATCTTTCATTGCATAGATTTTTAAAAAACACATGTATCATAACATCTAAACTTAAAAATGACACTTGAATTACTTGCAAATGTAATATTTAAGTGAGTCATTACCTGTCACTGTTAATTCAGTAGTTCTTCTCACAACGAAGCCTCCGTATTTTAACTCACAGGTATAATTTCCGATGTCATCTTCTCTGACCTCTCTTATGAGCAGGGTATCTCTTTTGAACACAATACTTGGCCTCCATGATTTTGTCCTACACTCCTGCATGAAAAACATTAGAGCTTGGTAGTGCATATCATAACTGAAACACCGAGAAAATTATCTTCTTTACTAAATCAAATTACACTAAGCACATATTTTAAAAGGACTAAGGGATTTTAGGTGCATACTAAAATTTTTCATTTTGTATTCAAATATCTAAGAAGCCAGGCATCTGAATAATTTCTATTTGAACAGAGTTTTTTTTAGCACAAGTCAATGTATTCACTTTTATGATTAAACAAACCAAAGCAAGTTTATTGACATTGAGTAATTCTGACTCATATTGACCCTAGAAGACAGCGTAGAGCTTCTCTTTCAGGTTTCTGAGACTATACATCTTCACAAGAGCAGACAGCCCCATCTTTCTCATTGGAAGTCCTAGTGGGTTTGAACCACTGACCTTACAGTTAGCTCACTACACCATGAGGGTTCCTTACCTCTCTCATTAGGGTTTCTAAAACAGTTAGGTATTGCTTAATTACGTATAAGAATAAGGATATCATATTTGGAAGCAAATACTTTATTTACTTTTTATGATTTTGAAATTAACCATTTTGCTTCCAATACTATGAAGAACAAATTATTTCAGTACAGAGTGAAAAAAAGTAGTTAATTCTACAGAGGATAATGCTTCTATTTCAATATTTGAAATATGTTAATACTGCCTTTAGAAAAAATCAATTTCCCTGTAGAATTTGCATTTTGTAGTTCATTTAAAGAGCCAACATTGATATTCAAGTCTTCATGGTCCCTTAAATATCTACTTTCATTGTTGGTGATGGGCCTCCCAAATTATGGTGTTTGGGTTATAATGATGTTGGCTCAGGAGATTTCTGTTTTTGCCAAAACAGAAGTCCACTTCCACTAGCCAGATTTCAGATCAATAGAATCAGTAGAAAAAGTGCTTTAAATCCTTTCATGCTTTTCATAGGTAACATTATTTCTAGAGAATGTTATTGCCAAATAAAATTTTTGCAGACAACTTTTTTTTTATTATGTGGCTCAGTGACTTTGTGAAAGTGTGGGCGAGAGTAATTATCTAGTTATTTTGGACCAAAATATACATTTATACACATATGTTTATATTAGATGCATAAATTATTACTTTTAAATGACTCAGATATTGACATTTTGAAGATTACATGTATTTATATATTTGTTGTCCTATGCTATTTAGATTAAATAAAGACTCATCGTAAATCATTACTAATACATAACGTTCCATTTGCATTAGGCTACCTTGAAAACACTATGCTTTAGCAATATAAAATAGATATTTAGCTATTAGATTAATCTTTAAATATTTCTACTTTAAGAAGTTGCCGTTAAATATCAACCATGAAGGTAAGTAAAAAATATGGTTACAAATATTAGAAACCGTGATTAAACAAAGATATCAATTTGTGAAGCTCTTATTATTTTTTGATATCCTCTATATAGCTCTAGATACTTCTGAAAGTGGTGTGTCTGTCTCCCCAACCATCACCCTAATAATTGTGTCTTCTTTCATTTGCACCAGGTTCCAGAGGTCACTTTGGGACCCCAGAGGGACTACAACCCTGTCCCTTGTCAGTGTTCTTGGAATCTTGGGAACAAAAGGAAATATGAAGGGGAACTAGAAAGGCCACGTGATGGATGAGTTGAGATTTCTCAACAAAGCTCTCATTGGAGAGCCTTGCTACTCTCCAAAGATGACTCTGTGTGCTGTTAGGATGAAAACAAAGTCCTCGGGACAACTTCTCAGACATTTTTCTAATCAATGCACTTCTCAATTTTCTTAACATTTCTTCATAATAAGGCTCTGTGAATATCCTGTGTCCTTTGAGAAAAATATATCAAAATTGCCCTTCGGGGATTTCCCCTGCCACTTAAAAAAAGGAGGCAGTTGGTATAACTTTCTGAGCTGACTGCTGCTTTGAATTTAAGTGCCCAGCAGATCTCTGAGAAGCTACTGCTTTGATTGGGCCCCTCGCCCCTTTAAAGGCACCCTATTGAGACTAAAAGGATCCCTGGAGGCATAGTGGTTACACATTGAGCCACTAACTGCAATGTCAGCACTTCAAAACCATGCTCAGTGGGAGAAAGACAGAGGCTTTCTCTTCCCATAAACCCAACTGCAGAAAGGCACAGGGCAGTTCGAACCTGTCTTATAGTGTCACTGTGAATTGACATCAACTCTACAGCAGTGAGTTTGGTTGTGAATTTTATTCAGATCCAGACAAGTGTATTACTGAGAGAACTTGTCTGCAGCCATCAACAGACCACAGAGACATGTTTAAATATATTTTGTTTGGAATAAACCTATAAATATATAAATTGAAACCTTCGCAACAATACTTTTTTTACTTACCCTCATATTTAAAATCTAGAAGGTTAGGTTGACGCTGAAAAAGAATCATCTGAAAAGTTGAAAGATTTTTAAATTCCACATATACTATATCCTTGCCCATCAGTCCACCATTGCTGATCTTAAGGTCAATAGGATGGTGGTGATGGGAGCAACAACTAAACGTCCAATCATGTTCTTAAATTAAGGGTGAGAGATTGTGCGTGTGTGTGTGTGTGTGTGTGTGTGTAGGCTTTCATCTCAGACGTATTGAAATTATTGCAAAAATGAGAAATGATATACAAGTTTTAAGATCAACTTATCAACAAACAGCTAAAGAATTGTCTATCTAGATGATGACTGTCCACATATGAGTACTAGACAAATATCTTTGTTCTTTGAGACCTTGGGTCAAATTCCCTTCACATCTCTTTCCTCTGAAGCAGCCACTAAGGTCTGCTCAGAGAATCCAGAGGGTGGAATACTCAAACAAGTGAGAAAGAGAAAGAAAGAAAGAAAAAACATTAAAAAAACCACGCAAAAACTTCTCAGTCCCCAGTCCAGTAAGAGAAACCAGTGCGGTTAATATTTGAATGCTGTTTATTATGTTCTTGGATAAAAGAACAACAACAAACAAGAGAAAGGGAGAGGGAAATCTTTGCATCTTTTTCTTGATAGTCTGAACTCGCCATTGCTCGTTAAATCTTAGAGAAGGACATGTCGATTTTTGCAAAACTTCTTAAAGTTTTGTTTCTTGTTTCATTATTAACAGGTTTTGCACCGATGAGCTATCCACCAGGGAAGGCTCACACTCCGTAGTCTGGCATGGATGGATCTAGCTACACTGGGGCCCAGCTGCCTAAAGGCCTGCTTCCAAGGAGCAGGACAAAGTGATTTTAAACCAGCCCTCTTTAAACCATGGATAAAATATTCTGCAGAGATGGTCATAGCATCAACATAGTAACAGCGGGTGTGAGTTTGGATAGTTTACACTTTTGAGTACTTTTCTAACAAAAGTTTTCTCTCTTTTGCCACGTCAATAAACTGAAGAGTATTTCATATATAAAATTTCAGTAAAAAGATATTGATGTGATAAGAAGAGCAGGGACTGCACCATTTTCTTCAAGTCTAAACATTTCTGGGGATGTGTGAAAAAAAGTTACTCTAACCCTATTGCTATACTACTATAAAATTTAACCAGATGCTAATTCTTTAGAATGTGTGCCTATACTGAAACGGATTACAGCATGAGCAAAATTGCATATGGGAAACAGAACCTTCCAATAAGAACTACTCTACCATTTGTCAAAGAGATAAATCAATTTTTCCCTCTCTGTGTGGGTGCATTTTGTATTGCTAATATGAAGAACTTTGAAGTGGATGCTTAATTGTGTTTTAGCTTTAGAATTATCCATCAAGACTATAATAGACTTAGAAGAACTGTCAATATAAACAGACTATAAGCACACAGCTTATTATAATGTACTACCAACACACACATTGACTGAAATTTATCAAAGTCATAGGCTAGGAGATTTTAATGACCCCCACAACTGGCTACATTATTATAGGAAGGAAAATCTTGCTCTAGATCATATTCATTAAAAAGCTGTATTCAATTTTCCCCAGAATGAAATGCACATTCCCTTATTCACGGGCAAAATAACCCCCCTCCCAATTCATACCTTGTACCAAAGGATTTCAGGTTCTCTGGTTGGTAGTAAAAAATCCTCAATGTCACGACATGAAATTTCCTTGCTTTTGCTAAGTTCAGCTTTTTCGAAGTATTTCATCTTCGAATTGTAGCAGAGTCCAGTGTCATTTTCACCGACTGTCAGCGAGATGGATACTTTCATACAGTAAGTGGAGTTTCTGTAACAAAGCAGAATACATACGGTGGCTTCAGGAGAACTTAAAGCCAGTGCTGCCCAGGCAGCATGTTTCATTCATTTCAAAGAAAAACAAAGGAAAAGCCCCGTTTGGCTTATTCCACAGGGCTCTCTTGTCACCCAGCTACCTAATGCTTGATCCAGCAAAACCAACTATAAATGAATTTTTATTTGCTGAGGGGAAGACTGTGTGCATTATCAACAGGTGTGACTTGATAAACTTAAAAGAGAAGTAAAATATCATTGAACAATTATGCATAAAAGAAAGGCAGGAATAGTCCCTACTCAACTCATAGCACCAACTGTTTTAGTAAGTAGAGAGGCCATTTATGAGCCTGGGTCTATGATCACAAAAAACCCACCTCACTGCCATTGAGTCCATGCTGACTCCTGGTGATCCTAAAGGGCAGGGCAAAACCGCCCATGTGGGTTTCCAATACCTTGACTGTGTGTGAGAGTAGAGAAGTCGTCATTCTCCTGCTGAGTAGCTAGTGGTTTTGAATGGCTGACTTTGGGGATCATAGCCCATTGCCTAAGCTCTATACCACCAAGGCTCCTCAGATGGAATGGTACTTAGTCATGGAGACAAGAATGGAGAGGTCACTGTCTTTACCCTTCTTTATACATTTGTGCCAGAACCTGTAGGCCAGATTGTCAAACCACTGGAGCATTCTACTGTATTATGGAAGGATAATTCCATCTTGACAGGCAGATTTGATAGAATCAGGTCATTAAATCAGCAGCTCATTTTTCTCCATGCTGGTTCCTAAATCAAGTTTACTACGTAGAATAAAGGAGCATCAAAATTATGTTCAGCGAGCATTTTGGAAGAGTTGGGGCCATCAGGAGGTTCTGTTCCACGATTTGTTTGTCTCTGGACACTTAATGAGCACCCACACTTTGTCAGTCACAGAGGTAGACACGGAGAATTCAGAGAACCACAAAGTCTAAGATGCCAGGCTTAGACAAGAATTCCACATTTTTAAGTGCCCAAGTGTGTGTTTATGTAGTTGGTCATAAAAGTCCTGGATTTGAATTTCACTGCACTCTAACCTTGCAACTCCAGGGAACTCCTTTCATCCTATTGAGTCTCCGGTATAGGACAGGAACAACTATTATAGGGGATGCTGAAAGGGAATAGGCTTAGCCCATCCTAGATTCTCAGAGATGGGGTTTGGGCCCGCTTCTGCATCTATGCCTGTGAACTGCATTTTCCAAGTCCTCTTTATTCAGCCAAGATGTTTGACATTTAAGCAGTTTCTCTGTTAAGATGATTAATTTGGATTAATGTTGATATGACAGCATGAGATTGGTCAGGAAATAGCTAGGCTATCCATTTGGCTTTATATTGGATAAGAAAAAAATGGTTCTACACAATTAGCTTATATTTTTAATTATATATATATTTACCTTTAGCTTTGTATACTAATTAATCTCGCAAATTGATTTAATATACTTAAGAGAAGAAACTACTGGCCATTAAATGAAGTCATGTTTGAGAAACGCTAGATGGAATGATCTTTAGACAGGTTAGCGGGACTGGCTGGCCCCATCTTGTGGCTTTGGTCCAATTTTATGTTTGGTTTAATTGAAAAAGATGACCAACATCCTAACACTCAACCATGTTATATTCAGGAAACAAACAAGCTCCAATATTCTCTGTTTTTAACATCGGGAATCCTCTTTTTGTTGATACTGAGACAGGTTTGCAGGGCTGGCAGCCCTCTTCTTTGAAAGGTCTGTGCCAGTTCAATCAGAAATTCGACTTCTACCTAGACAAATAATGGCTTTTATGATAGACAGTGTGGCACTCATGGTGCATTTCTGGACAATCAGTTTGCAGGAAATCAGCTGCTGTCTCTGTAAATGGTAATGTTTGTGGTATGCATTGTGATATTCAAAGTTGATTAGAATGACTTCAAAACAATTGAGTCAATTCAATAGCCTGAACATGTACAGTGACCACCACCTCACCAACATGGCTTTCAAAGACCAAGCATCTGACCTAACTATGCAGGTGTGACATCCCACAATCACTGTTGCTCACCAGTATCAGAAACCCTTGCAACATAATTCTTCTTGAAGTTACTGTTGTTAGCAAAGCCCTGCTTAAATGGATTATTTTCCTGGGAATCCATACCTATCCAGTGAAATAAACACAGTGTTCTCTCTCTCTCTCTCTCTCTCTCTCTCTCTCTCACACACACACACACACACACACACCTTTATAAACCCTAGTAATGCTTTTGTTTCAGAGGTATAAAGAATGAACTTTGCATAGGCTTTTCCTATCCCAAGTTGCACATCCCTCTCCAAATAATATTTTGCTGGTTTGGAAAATCTTTGTCTTTCCTGATTATTCTTTGTTTCTTCTTATCACTTGTAGCTTGTCTGTGGAATAGTACCCCCAACGACAATCCTGCAATTCCTAAAGGCCAGGACAAAGAATAGGCAGTAAGCAGTTTAACCTCATTTGCTAAGTATTAAAAAGAGATGTATCATCAAAGATTACAAGAAGTCTTGATAAGAAACAAGAAATGGTGAAATGTGGGTTGTTGTAAAGGACTAGGAACAAGAAAGGCTATTTCAGGGAACACTGTGTACAAAGATGTAAAAGCATGAAACAACTGGTACTTTTAAGCAATTGGAAATAATTCGAAGTATAAGGTAGCTATAAAGAAAGAACAGGAACTCAGACTAGAGAGGGGAGCTTGAGCCAGACTAAAGCTGTGTAATCCACTTCAAAGGGGTTAAACTTTATTTTGGGGAATAATGGCATTTGGATTTTGGAGGGGTGTGTATGTGTTTGATTGTAGAGAGGGAAATAAATTGGATTGGAAGGAGGATGAAATGCGTTGAGAAGAATTTGAAAGCAACTGCATTCACGTAGGAAAGAGATTCTGTGGAGAAAGTGCTCCTTGAGATGGAGAATAGGGAGCACTTTAAAATATTTAAGAGCATAGGATCAATATGGTAGTGAAAGAGTGAAAGAAAGACCATAGAGAATTTTCCACGGATGAGTATTTAAAAAGTGAGGCCAATCCTTCCGCATGAAGAGTACTGAATGAAAAAGGAACAAGTTTGAGAGAAAAAGGGAGTGTGTTAAAGTTTAACTCGAGTTTGAGCTTGATCTAGCTGTGCGATATCAAAGAGAGGCAAAATAATCCCCATGGGTGGCCAGCGATATTGTTGATGCATGATTGATTTTACTCCGGTGTCAGCTAGCCTATGCCTTTCCCTGGCTCATTATGGAATTCTCCCCCAACCCCACCCCAGATAAACAGAGTTTTCAAAGTGTAACTGTTGCCTGCCTTAGAATACAATCAAATGGGTCTTAGGAAAATATTATGGGGTACTTTTTTAAGTTGCCCTTGCTGATCTAAAAATAAGTCTGTGAGATTTTATATAGGAGCACTGGTGGCGTAGAGGTTATGCATTGGGCTGCTACCTCCAAGGTAAGCAGTTCCAAATCCCTAGTCACTCCTTGGGAGAAAGACAGGCCTCTCTACTCCGGTAAACCATTGCAGTCTCAGAAAGCCACAGGGGTAATTCTATCCTGCCCTATAGGGTTGCAAAGAATTGGCCTGACTGGATGGCAGTGGGTTTGGTTGGCATTGGACATAGGAAACAAAGAAGAGAGAGAGAGAGGGAGAGAGAGAGAAGGCTGACCTGTGAGGGCCCCCTGTGTTGCATGGTGGCACCCCTCTCCATAAGCTTTTCAAGGACGTGAACTTTTGGAAAGCAGATCTCCAGACCTTCCTTCTCCAGTGTCCCACTTGGGTTTGTAGCCACACACTGAACTATGGCACCACCATGGAGTCCTTCCACCATAAAGAGACGTGGTAAAACAAAATCATCCGTATCATGGGGAGAACGAAAGTTTGTTTCCTTGCCTCACAATTAGAATTCACTGTTGTTTTTTCCCAGAAAAAAATATCTATGTTACTATCTATCTTAAGACAGATGTCAAGAAAATATTTCAGTATTGGAAAAATAGTGATATTTGTATGATGCTTTTGAATTCTTAAAGGACAGAGACCTGTCTAGGAAGCAAGTTGGTGAATTCTAATTTTAAATTTTGTACATAAATATTTCAAATCCAGAGGTCCTAGTTTTTCTTTCTCCTCAAACTATTGATTACTTTATCTGCTGGAGGCAATGGTGTGGGAGGCGTGCCTGACCTCCTCTGGCTACCCAGAGGAAGAGAATCCGAGGACACGTCTGCCTGAGGATGATGCCCATGAGACCGGTCAGACATAGCTCCACCCTCCAGCTTCATTTACCCTACTCTGACAGAAACCATCTCGCCAATGACAGTCTACTCTACTCACCTGTGTTTGATAACGTGTTACAGTTTCCACATAGAACTCGCGGAGAACATTCACAATTATGGGGTTTATTAAAGAAGATATCAGGTTATAAGTCAAGAGCTAAACATTTTAATAGGATAGTCTGGCATGTCTCTTGCACCCTTGGCCTCTCTCTTCCCTGCTCAGGCAACTGTTACAAATCTTCTTTATATACGTCCAAAGGTCACCCTACTCTGCAAGTCAGACGCCTGCCCAAAGTCACTCATTGAATTGGTTGGGCTCTGACTCATGCTTTCAGCATGGCTCCTCTGCTGTGTCTCATGGTCTCAGTGCTGGGGCCTTTGCTGTCCTTCCTGACACTTTAATCAGGGATCTCCCACTTGCTCCACTGGTGACTTGTTTTTCTTAAGTGATTCCTCTATCCTTGCTTCTATGATGGCTCGCTCTTATACTCAGTGTAATGGGAAAAATGACCACTCCTGGAGTTATAGTCTTCTGTACCTTATTTGTGTAGAAGAAATGATGGGGTGAGAATTACAAAGCCTACAGAAACAAGAGCTTTCCCATGTAATTGCACTTCATCCCACTGCTCTATCCCACAACCCTGTATTTAATAGGTGACACGTTTTTTGGTTTGTTTGTTTTGGTTTGTGTTGTTGTTGTGTCTCTCTGT